TTCTCCCTATCCTACAGCATCTTCAGCCTCCCTTGCCTGCCTCATTGTCTCCAGTGCCAGTGGGCTGTGCCTGTGTGGGGTAAGGTGGGGGGCACCTCCCAACTATAGTACTGTACTGTATGGCAAAAAAAATTTCCATGGAACCTAACCCCCCAATTTACATTAATTCTTATGGGGAAATTGGATTCGCTTAACATAGTTTCCCTTAAAGTCGCATTTTTCAGGAACATAACTACAATGTTAAGTGAGGAGTTACTGTAGACAGATCTTAAAAACAAACTTGTGATCATTTAAATGTATTTTTCTTCAATCTAAAATTAACTATTTAATTTTCATTATGCATCTAAATCTTCATATAATAAGAAGAAATGCTATTTTTCTTTGACTAGCAATAATTCAAATGCAGTTTAAAACTCTGGGTTTATGTAAAAAAAATTGTAAAACTTAGACATTCACACACGAGAAAATCTGCTCAAAGTTGAACAGCCCTTTTTCAACTATCATAACATAGAAGATGTAAAGGAATCGACTCCTCTGCCATCGCTCTCCTCTCATGTGCTTCTTTTCCTTGATCCCACCTTTCTGTAGCAACTGCTACCTATTAGGCTTTTCCTCTTAAAAAAAAGAAAAGGATACACAAGATCCTTAAGCCACAGTCAGTAACTGCTGCTCTAGGTCAGCCAGGAATAGATTATTCAAATTCAGTCCAGTAATCTGTACTTAAGTAAAAGTCCCACTGAAGTCTAGGGGAGCCTTTCCTGAGTAAGGGGAGGCATGTTTGATTCTATACTAAATTTATATTCTGAACTGGCTTTAATTTATTTTTAATCCTTTTGAGTCTTTCCATACATAGCAACTCAAAAGACACTTCTGGTCAACCCTAGTCATTCTTGTTCTGTTCTTACTGACTACCCACTGTAATTAATGTATTAAGCAGTAATTGGAGCTGGAAGAACCATAAGCCCCTAATTTAGCCTTTTTTTAAAAAATGCATTGGCTCTACCAATGCAAATATCTTTTTTTTTTTTGGGTGGGAATTTTTCTTCTAAAAAATGTAACCCTTTTAAAAGTGTGTTCTCCTTTCAGTTTTGTCCTTCATTGAGAGCCCTTCCATCTTCAATGGCACAGCTCTGGAATCTGTTTTCAGGGCCAGAGGCTCCCTACCCAAATTAGAATGATAGAGGAAAACAAAAGCTGGTAGAAAACGGACAGAGACAATGCAAAGGTTGCTGAGGGAAGGGAGCAAATCCCTGGTATGTTCCCAACCTCTGACCCAGAGAAGCCTCTTGCACAATCACTGAGTGGTCAGGCCTCCACGGCTCAGGGCATTCCAGGGACTGGAGTAGAGACACAGTAGTATTCCATGCCAGTGAATGTAAAAGGATACCAAATGAGAATGCTATAACTTTGCACAGGTGTAAATGACTAGACAAAGAGTTGAACAACAGAATCCAGGCTTAATTATAGGGACAACCTGTCCCTGGAAGCTCTCAAAGTAGGATGGAGGGAATCAACAACATATTTGTCTCCCAAACTTTTGGCTGGCTAGAAAGGGAAGGAGCAAGGATAGCAGGATGGACAGAAAGCAGTCAGGCTGCTGCTTTGTGCAGCAGCATTCAGCCATCTCTCCTCTTCCTGCCAGCTGCCATTTAGCTCTTGGACAGAGTAGGAGTCTCACAGGAGCCTACTGCCAGAAGGCGCTGCTCTATCCTGACCAGGCAGGAGAGGCTGCAGCCAGCTCAGCTCCATCCCTGCCTGCCTGTGCCCCTCCTCTGGGAGCAATAGAAGCAGGGGGACAAAGAGGAGTTGGGATGTTGCACCCCATAATGCTTTATGGGATATGCTTATGAATGTATATATGACATATCTGGAATATGTTTTATGCTACATATGCCATGTAACATATTTCTGTAAAGGTTATGAATATATTCATCCTAGTTGCATGCATGTGTCATTTTTGTACTTGAAGTTATGAATATGTACTGTATGCTTGTTTAATTTTAAAATAGCTTCAGTGAAGCAGTTGGTCAGCTTCCTGAGAAAAGACTATTCTCGGTAAGTGCCCAATCAAGACGCCAATCCACATCTGAGCTTTCACAGAAATGTGGCTTGGCTGTTAAGGAACTCAGTTATGCATGGACATGTGACTCCAAAACTCCATTTTGTAGCTGGATTCTACACAGGGGGAGGGAGGGGTGTCCACCCACAAGAGAAAGTCTATTTAAACCCCAGGAGACCCCTCCATTTTGTCTTCAGCTGGCTCAAGAGATAGCCTTTCCACCCCCAAGGATACCTGAAAGAAACTGGAACAAAGGACAGTAACCACAAGGGGTCTGAGTAATTGCTAGACCCAGACTAGAAGGAGACTAGTCTGCAAAAGGCAGCTTACTGGAACACCTCTGAGGGTGAGGTTTTATCTGTCTTCAGTTTCATGTATCATGTATTAGGTTTAGACTTGCATGTTTTATTTTATTTTGCTTGGTAATTCACTTTGTTCTGTTTGTTATCACCTGGAATACTTAAATCCTACTTTCTGTATGTAATAAAATCACTTTTTACTTATTAATTAACCCAGAGTATATATTAATACCTATGGGAGGCAAAGTGCATAGCTCTCTCTATCAGTGTTATAGAGGGCGAACAATTTATGAGCTTTATACAGGGTAAAACGGATTTATTTGGGGTTTGGACCCCATTGGGAGTTGGGCATTTGAGTGTTAAAGACAGGAACACTTCTTAAGTTGCTTTCAGTTAAGCCTGAAGTTTGTGGGATGTGGTTCAGACCTGGGTCTGTGTTTGTGCTGCTAAGTGTGTCTGGCACATCCACGCAGGGCTCTGGAATCCCAAGCTGACAGGGAAAGCAGGGGCAGAAGTAGTCTTGGCACATCAGTTGGCAGCCCCAAGGGGGTTTTTGTGATCCAACCTGTCACAGGAGTCATTACCAATCAGGCTTCCATCCAATAGCAATTTCTTCTCTCCCTCCTCCTTAGGAGACATATATAAGGAAGGAGAGGAGCCAGGTACAAGGAGAAACTGTAAAGAGGACAATGGATGGAGGAGACACTGGAGGCATGTCTGTATTAAAAACTTAAGTCAACCTATGTTAGGTCGACTTATAGCCACTGCAGTAACTACTGTTGTGGCTCATGTACACACAATCCTCCTTCCGTCAGTGGTGTGCATCCTCACAAGGAGTGCTTGCACTTACTTCTTAAGAAGGGCAGTGTGCGTATGGGGTGAGGTGGGCTCTCAGCTCCGCATGCAGCTCCCCGCCAGGAGCCCGGCTGCCTCCCACCAGCTCCCCGGCTCCCCGCCTGGGATCTCAGCTCCCTGTGCTCTTGGCTCCCCACCAGGGCACCCTCCTCCCCATGGCTCTCAGCTCCCCACGGCTCTCAGCTCCCCACTCCTCCGTGCAGTCAGGCTCCCCCAGCGGAACCATGAAATTGACAAGAATGACAGCCAACACCTCAGATACAGGGGTGAGCTAAGGGAGGTGGGTGGGGAGTTGGGGAGTGTGGGACAGTGGTACGGAGGCAACTTAGACAAACAGAGATGTAGGGATGGCTTGAGGAAGGGGAAGCTAGGAGAGGCAGAGAGGAAAAGGACTGAAGCCGAGGGGAAAGTCAGATATGAATGGGTGGATGGGTAGGTGGGCAATATAAAGTTATACAAAAGATTAAAATGATTTCCAGTCATCTACTCGCTTTCCTGTGGTAAGATTGTGGCTAGGAATTTAATAGGAGGTGGTATATTGCTTGATGGACTACAATAATAAAGTCCAAAGCCATGCAGTACTGTTCCTTAATGTAAGTCAGCATTATCTACAAGGCACAGTCTTCTTTACCTGATGGTGTTGTTTTAATCCAAATTTAAATCTGGTCATTTCATTTATGAGTGAGCAGTCTCCACTTAGATTAGCAGCTCGAATCTATCATGAAAACAAAAGACCACAGAAAATAAATGGAACAGTCAGAGCATTACAGTAATTCTTAATATAATGAAGTAGTTTCCAGTATTTTTCTCGTGGATTCTCCCTCATTGTGCTGAACTGGGAAAGACTGAACCCTTCTTTGCCCTCTTGGTGTCAGCTATGCCAGGGCACGGTTCATTGACCACCATCTTTTCCCCTGATTCTGCTTTCTCCTGTACTTTTTTGCCTTTTTTCTTTTCACAGTAACCCCTCCCCGCCCTCATTTCTATACAAGGCTACATATTGTTCTGGAGGGAATATCCACTGGTGACTCCGGGGGGCCAAGTCACACATGCTCTTGCGGCTGAAATGAGTGATCAGGGAGTAGAGAAGAAAAAATTAGCTCTGTGAGCCATTGCTTGAACTTGAAAACCCTGTGAAATGCTCCTGTTGCCATGTGCATTAGGGGCTGCTATAAGAGCAAGGAAGGCAGGCAAGTGGCTTTCAAAGAACCACTTGCTGCATTTTCCACAGTAGCAGGAACACAGCTGCATTAAGAGAAGTACAGACTTAGAGACATGCACATTTCTCTACCCCTCAATGTTCTCTTCCTCTGCTTTGCACTTTCCCTCCCTCCTCCAGTCTAGTCTGGGGCTTCCCTGGTATAGCCTGCCTTCTGGGATGGGAAACACTGCTCTAGTAGGTTTAAAAGATTATAGAAATCAGGTGTAGAAAAAAATAAATCATTGTTTCATAAGAGGAAAAAGCTAGTATTTGTACTGGTGAATTTAAAAAAAAAGATTGAAATGGCAAAAGTTGTTTGGATACAAAAAAATGGGCCAAAAAGTACAAGCAAGCAATTCCCAGAAAAGCATGAGCCCAATCTTGTGTTAAATCTTAAGTTCTAATTTTTTACATTCAGCACGTAGACACTTTGATTGGCACTCTATAATTCCCTTAGAGACAAAAAGCAGGTATGCAGATAATGCAATTTCTGAATTCCAGGGTGGCTTTAATGATTTTGTATATGTGGCTACTAAACCAAATTCATTTCTAAGAAGAATTAAATAAATCACAGCTGACTTCCACTTAAAGTGCATCTTCTCCAGGTAAAACAAATGCAAACATGATATACAATTTCATGTACCTTTATAAAAATCTGACCTTTTTGTAGCAATTACGTTACGTTACTTCTCTCATTAGGGCAGATCACGGAATCTGCAGTTTTACAATGAAACCTGTAAGTTTCTGCTATCAACTCTAGATATCATTCTTTACAGTTCTTGGAAAGTATTCCTAAATGTTTTAAACTAAAATGACAGACACCATTTAGCTCTATATATTTACATTATCTTTATTGGCATAGAATAATTTTTTGTGTTACAGTGAGGAAATTTTCTACTTTATCAAAATGACAGAGATGACATTTACATGGAAATATACTTCACATATTTCTAGTTCATATTCCAAAATCAACTATTAGTAACCTGTGTAAGTAGCTTAGTTTCGTTTCATAATCCATCAAGTTCTCCATGCTACACAAGCAACTATGTGCCACTCAATAATGATCTGGTAATAACCACTCTCCAGGAAAGGATTAGTGTCATGAACAGAGGTTTATGATTATTAAGGCTACAGTCAATAAAATAATAAGTACATATTTTTACAGGAAGAGTCACTTTTGTTAATAACCTTACTTTTGAACTCTAACATACTACTATGAAGATTATGCAAAATATCAATATTTGTAGAAAAAGGAACTTTATAAATACTGTACTATCATCTACACGTTTTTATTCTGTAGCTATTGAAACGTGATTAAATGAACATTATTACGTATCAGAAGCAGATAAATATGTATTACATTTGTTGGTTAAACTCCAAAACATAGTATTTCAACTTGTACTTTGAACAAATCTGGTCTCTAGTTTGAACCAACAGAAGAACAAAAAAAAAGGAAGAAGGGAGTTATACTGAATTATGTTTGGATAGAACAGAATGTTTGGCTTAGCACCAAAACCTCTAATAACCACCAGTAAGTAACACTCAGACTCAAGAAAGAAGCCTACTCATGTGTGACAAGCACGTTGACTTACCTCTGAACAGGCTAAATGTTTGACATTGCTGAACCAGTCAACATGTGCACGACAGTGATCAAAAGCATGAATCAGTTCATGAGTAACTACTCGGTTCATATGGGATTGTTGATGAATATTGTTCTGGCATAGAACAATCTGTAGAACAAAAATATAGGAAGTCTTTAGAAAAAAGTTAAAGGAATTTTCATTGCAAGAGTATATTAGCTTTGAACAGTATTACTGGCTTTCAATTTCTCCCTATCCTGTTGGAATTATTTATGCAGGCAACCACAACAACACTAACTTAACCATAATTCCTTTATTAAATTCAAAGGTCAAATAGTATTTATATAATTGCTCTAAACATGCCTGAAAGCCTAACTAATAAGCCCTTTACTATATCCCTATAGTAAAACCAAAAACAAACAAACAAAAAACATTTTACAAGCATTTGATCAAGATACTTACAAATGGGCTAAACCCAGGGGTTCTTAGATCCATAATCATTGAACCATACATGTGGAGGACTGAAAGAGACCTCAGTAGGTTATCTAGTCCAGTCCCCTGTACTTAAAGCAAGACTAAGTAATAACTAGACCATTCCTGACAGATATTCATCTAACCTTAAAAACCTCCAATGATGGATATTGCATAACCTCCCTAGGCAATCTGTTGCAGTGCTTAACTATCCTGATAGTTTGAAACAACCTTTTATGTACCTGAAAAAACTGTTATCATATTCCGCCCCCCCCCCACTTCTTTTCTCCAGACTAAACAAACACAATATTTTCATTCTTCATTCATAGGTCATGTTTTCTAGACCTTTAATCATTTTTGTTGCACTCCTCTGGACTTTCTCCAATTTGTCCACATCTTTCCTGAAACGTGACACCAGAACGGGACACAATACTCCAGTTGAAGCCTTATCAGCACAGAATAGAGTCGAAGAATTACTTCTTGTGTCTTCATTAGATAGAACACCCTTGCTGTTAAATCCCAGTATGTTTTCTTCTTCTGCAACAGTGTTACACAGTTGACTCATATTTAGCTTGTAATCCACCTTTCTGCAATACTCATTCCTAGGCAGCCATTTCCCATTTTGTATGTGTGCAACTGATTGCTGCTTCTTAAATGAAGTACTGCAAACTTTAGAAGTGTACTCTCTATGTCATTATCTAAATCATTTATGAAGATATTGAACAGAACTAGACCCAGGAGTAATCCCTGTAGGATCGCACTCGATATGCCCTTCCAGCTCGACTGCGAGCCACTGATAACTACTCTCTTGGAAAGGTTTTCCAACCAGTTATGCACCCACCTTATAATAGCTCCATCTAGGTCAGGGGTGGGCAAACTACAGCCCGCAGGCCACATCCAGCCTGCCAGCCGATTTAATCTGGCCCTCAAGCTTCTGCTGGGGAGTGGGGTCTGAGGCTTGCTCCGCTCCTGCACTCCAGGCGGGCAGGAGGATCAGGGGCCACTCCACGTGTGCGTCACAGCTCCCGGAAGCAGCAGCATGTCCCCCCTCCAGCTCCTACATTTAGGGGCAGCCAGGGGGCTCTGCGCGCTTCCCCTGCCCCAAGCACTGCTTCCATAGCTCCCATTGGCCGGGAACTGCAGTCAATGGGAGCTGCAGGGGCGGCACCTGAGGACAAGGCAGCACACAGAGCTTCCTGGCCGCGCCTCTGCATAGGAGCCAGAGGTGAGACATGCTGCTGCTTTTGGGAGCTGTTTGAGATAAGCACCGCCCAGAGGCTGCACCCTTGAGCCCCTCCCGTGCCGCAAGCCCCTGCCCTGATCCCCCTCCCGCCCTCCGAACCTCTCAATCCCAGCCCAGAGCACCCTCCTGCACCCCTCATCCCCAGCCCCACCCCAGAGCCTGCACCCCCAGACGGAGCCCTCATCCCCCATGTCCCAGCCTGGAACCCCTCCCGCACCCTGAACTCCTCATTTATGGCCCCACCCCAGAGTACGCACCCCCAGCCAGAGCCCTCACCCCGTCCTGCTCCCCAACCCCAATTTCATAAGCATTCATGGCCCGACATACAATTTCCATACCAAGATGTGGCCCTCGGGCCAAAAAGTTTGCCCACCCCTGATCTAGGTTGTATTTCCCTAGTTTGTTTATGAGGTCATGCGGGACAGTATCAAAAGCATTACTAAAGTCAAGATATACCATATCTTCTACTCACTCTGTCAAAGAAAGCTATTAGATTGGTTTGACGTGGTTTGTTCTTGACAAACCCATGCTGACTGTTGCAAACCTCTAAAAGATAATAAGTAAATTGACTGCTTGATTATTTGCTCCATTATCTTTCCGAGTACTGAACGTAAGCCGATCAGTCTGTAATTCCCCAGGTTGTCCTTATTTTCCTTTTTATAGATTGGCACCACAGTAGAATCTCAGAGTTACAAACACCAGAGTTATAAACTGACCAGTCACCCACACACCTCATTGGGAACTGAAGTACATAATCAGGCAGCAGCAGAGACCAAAAAAAAAACAAACAAACAAAAAGCAAGTACAGTACTATATTAAACGTAAACTACTAAAAAATAAAGGGAAAGTTTAAAAAAAAGATTTGACAAAGTAAAGAAACTTTCTGTGCTTGTTTCATTTAAATTAAAATGGTTAAAAGCAGCATTTTTCTTCTGCATAGTAAAGTTTTAAGCTGTATTAAGTCAACGTTCAGTTGTAAACTTTTGAAAGAACAACCATAACATTTTGTGCAGAGTTACGAACAACCTCCATTCCCAAGGTGTTCGTAAGTCTGAGGTTCTACTGTATATTTGCCCCCTTCCAATCCTCTGGAATCTCTTCCATCTTTTTTCTAATGGCTCAGATATCGCCTCAGTCAGCTCCTTGAGTATTGGATGTATTCCATCATATTGGTTGGCTCCAACATGGTCAGGCAAGTATTAGCAATGAACCCATTAAAAGTTTACTTTTTATACCCTTTAACAATCAAGAGATGTCATTGCCAATTACTGACATCAGCTAAAAAACAACTTGAGACAGTGCACACTTATTTCCAGTCTTAATCCAGATAAGATTTACAATCTCTTCCCCTTCTTCTTGCTGATCAATGGTTTTTCCTTTGCATCTAGGTTTACATAGGCCCTAATTTTTAGGTAACACTGGTATGTGGAGTTGTTAAGGCCATGCTAGCTCATTTTAAGACAGATTCTCTTTCTTATTTAAAACCATCTGCAGTCACCCCTGTCGATTAGAGGCCTTCTTTTCAGAAACTCTCTTTTATTTTATTAGTTATTCTTTGAACCAGACATCCTCCCTTAGCAAGTAGAAAAAAGGCCTTGAAAATACTAGCCAGGGTCTTTCTTTATAACTCATATTTCCTTAAACAAATTTAAGCTAATCCTAATTCTTTCATTTTATATTTATCCTATAGTCCCTCAAAGATCCCGGGCAGGTCATCTGCATCACTGAGGACTTTGAGGATCCCACTATTTTTCTCCATTAACCATCACTTCAACCTGCGGTGTACTAATATTAGTGGCGTTATCTCCAAATAATAACTCTTACATAGTGCTTTTCATCAGCAGAGCTCAAAGCACTTTACAAAGAAGCATCAGTATCTAAGCACAAGCATGGATCTACCGATTTTAAAGTTAACTTTCTTTTATGGATTTAAACAAACTTCCAACATTATTTAAAAATCTGATTTTGATTATAAAATACATGTTCTTGCAAGCTTCTTTTTCACTTTGTAGGGTATTAAAACAGTCAAAAATCAACGCCCACCTGTGATGTTGCAGAATCAAAACCTCCACTGACACACCCATCACAGTCTTCACAGGCAAAGTGCCGATCTTCATGAACAGTGCTGAAAGGTCAAGAAGTATGAAGTTAGAGGCAAGTTTTAAATAAGATTGCTAAGGATCACTATAGAAGTCAATACAGAACACACAAGTCAGAGGTTGACCTACCAGCCAGACTGCTTCATAGCATCAAGAAGAAGTTGAGCATATGGACCTAGAAAAACAGTGCTGCAATCAATTTCTCTACACAAAATTTTGTGCAACAAGTAAAGTTCAGTTTTTTATTATATAAGAGAATTACGAAGTGAGATTTATGCAATTAATAATTATATGGTGACGAAGTGACACTGCATCTTAAACTAAGTGCATTGTGACTTTGGAAAAGCACTGGATGAAAAAGTCAATTTACAATTGTCCCAATTCAGATTAATAAAAAATGACATTCAAAGCCATACAATGCTCAATTCACTGCAGGGCACGCACAGACATTATTTAAATAGCAAATGTTTGTGTAGAGGCCACTACTTCTGAGTCCTGTATAGAACTTAAGTGGAGGTCTGGTCTGACATTACGCTAAAACGTTGGTCGACCTAGTGGTGGCCTCTCAGAGAGGTGGATTTACGACGACGAGAAAAGTCCCTTTCCGATACTGTAGTGAGTGTCTACACTACAGTGCTGTAGCACTTGTACTGTACACTCAGCCTCAGTGTAGAACAACAGCGACTAAATGTAGAGTTAGTATATGCCCTCAATCTACAGAAAAAGGCCTTCTGGGTAAAAAACATATAGCAGCCACTTCTGGAAGGTTATTTTCTTAATTTACTTAACCAGAATTAGTGCAGATATGGAAGATGAATAAGGAACGTTACATAGCAAGACAAAAGCCCAAGAACAATGAAGAGGCTTTTAAGAGGTTATCACTTAAACAGAAACATCCAGTTACTCACAATTAAACCAATTCCTACATCTTCACAGATGCCAAAAAATCCAAATGTCCCTCCATCTCCGCCCACTGCACTGCCAAAATCAATATAGTAAAAGCTCTTTTACCCAGCACTTCATCAGCCGGCAAGCTCTATAAACTGGCATTTCTGATCTGCGCTGAAAGTCCAATTTATAGTGCGTGGTGTGGGGCCAGCAGGGGGCTGGGGCGTGGGAGGGACTGTGGGGCACGCTCTGGGAGGGAGTTTGGGGCAGGGAGTTGGGGCACAGGGTGCCAGATGGGGGGCACTCACCTCCGGCGGCTCCCCACAAGCAGCTCCCCACCCCAGCTGTTACTAGCGGAGGCGCGGCCAGACGGCTCTGCAGACACACTGCCTCTGTCCTCCATCCCCAGAGTGTTGACTCCATGGCTTCCAGCCCATTGACCAGGAACTGCGACCAATGGGAGCTGCAGGGGGCGCCGCCTGCAGACAGAGGCAGTGTGGCACATGCCTGCTTGCAGAGCTGCCTGGCCGCGCCTTCCGTCAGGAGCAGCAGGGACGGAGAGCCACTGGCTGTGAGCGCCCCGCCCATGAGGCACCCTGAGGCCTGGCTGTGCCTCCATGTAGGAGCCGGAGGGGGGGACATACTGCTGCTTCCGAGAGCTGCTTGAGATAAGCACCGCCCAGAGCCTACATCCTTGAGCCCCTCCCGTGCCCCCAGCCCCTGCCCTGATCCATCTCCCGCCCTCCGAACCCCTCGATCCCTCCTGCACCCCAACCCCAGGCCCACCCCAGAGCCTGCACCCCCAGCCAACCCACCCCTCCCCCATGTCCCAGCCCTGATCCCCCTCCCACCCTCCGAACCCCTCAGTCTCAGCCTAGAGCGCCCTCCTACACCCCAAATCCCTCATCCCCAGCCCCACCCCAGAGCCCACACCGCCAGCAGGAGCCCTCATGCCCCCCTGCACCCCAACCCCCTGCCACAGCCTGGAGCCCACTCCCGTGCCCTGAACGCCTCATTTCTGGCCCCACCACAGAGTCCACACCCCGGCCAGGGACCTCACCCCCTCCTGCACCCCAACCCCAATTTTGTGAGCATTCATGGCCCGCCACACAATTTCCATACCCAGATGTGGCCCTTGGGCCAAAAAGTTTGCCCACCAATCTTAGCACTTCATCATTTACCTTAGTTACTGTGCAGATGCTTGTCACTGTGATATTTAATTTATATTTTAATAACAAATACTTATTGAAAATACGTATACATACTTGCTAGTAGTTTTAGCAATGACATCTGTGTTTCTAGTATTGCACTTGCTATGTTTTGTCAGCACAGTAAATGAAGCTGCAAAATAAATGATGTTTAAATGACCTCACTCTATAAAGAAGTAATTGATACTTATTATGTACACCAGGCAGGGTCATTTGGAAGCTGAAGACTTTGCTTCCATCCCACCCCAAGCTCAGGTTTGAGCAAATTAGGACAAGTCAGGAAATAAGAACAACCTCACCGCTCAGGAACTGCTACTGGCTACAGTTCGCTACCCCGTCCCAGTAGCAGATTAGGTCAGACAGCAGTTTAATACCAGTAACTGCTACTGGTAGCAAATTACACACGGCCCCTGGAGGAGAAGCTCTGCGCCCCCGGCCTGGCAGCCCCTCAAACCCCGCACTCAGAGCCGACCCCGCCGCGGCCACAGGGCCCGAGCGCCCCCTCGGTGCCTACTTGTGTTCAGGGCGATCTTCAGCATCACCTGGCACTTGTGGTTGAAGGTGAGGAGGCTGGTGGCCAGGAAGCTGCGCTGCGGCTTGGCCTCGCTGCGCCGCTCCGGGAAGAGCCGGTAACCGAAATCCTCCCCCTCGGCCCCCTCTTGCGGCGGCGGCCGCGGCTCGCTCCGATCCATGGGCTCGCTTCCCCGGGCGCTCATGGGCGGGTTCGAGACATGCCCCCGGCAGCGACCGTTCCCGGGCAAAGGTCAACTCCCGCCCCGCCAATCACAGGGTGGGCTGCGCACCACGTGCTGCGAGCCGAGGGGCGGCGCTGTCAGCCATGACACCAGAGGTAACGGTCGCTCGGGGTGAGTGGTCGCGGAGCGGTGCTGCGCGGGCGGCAGCTGGGCCGAGGCCCCGTCACGGCCGCCGGCACTAGACGCGCGGGGGACTGTTTCCAGCCCCAGCCGCGGTGCGCTCTGGGAAGGGCCGGCCGCGGTTTGCGGCGCTAGCGGCGGCAGGAGGAGGCGGCGCAAGGTGGGGTCTGCAGGGCGCGGGGCGGCGGGTTCAACCTGTCCGGGGGCGGGGCGGTTGGGTCCCTGGTCTCCTTGCGGGGCGGGGGGGCGCCTGTCGGGGCATGAGCCCGAGCAGCCACGTTTGCTGAGGGCACGTGAGGCGCCAGGCCCCTGGACTGTCCCTTTTCCCGCCCTCATCAGGGCAGCGTCTGGCCCCTCGGGGCACCAGCGGGCTGTGAGCAGCGCTGCTGGCCAGGCTGTATGTAGCTGGGGAACTGAGGTGGGGCCTGGCGTCAAGAAAGGCAGGTAGGCGTCGCAACGCCGAGCGTCCTAGGAACAGCCCTGGGAGCCACTGGGCCCGAGTCAGGAGCCTAGACGCCGCTACGATGCCTGGGAGAGTTAGACACCTTAAACTGTGAGCTACACCAGGGGTCCGCGGAGGTCTTCCAGGGGTACATCAACTCATCTAGAGATTTGTCTTGTTTAACAAGAGGCTACATAAAAAGCACTAGCTAAGTCAGTACAAAGTAAGTGACTTGTTTATACTGCTCTCTATACCATACCCTGAAGTGTCAGTATAAATTTTATATTCCAGTTGATTTATTTTATAATTAGATGATAGAAACAAGAGAGTGAGCAATTTTTCAGTAATAGAGTGCTGTGACAGTTTTGTATTTTTGTGTCTGATTTTGTAAGCAAGTAGTTTTTAAATGAGGTGAAACTTGGGTTTCAAAGACAAATCAGACTTCTGAATGGGGTTGTTTGGAAAAGGTTGAGAGCTACAGAGCCAGCATGCTAGGAAGGTGAAACCTGCCTGAAATAGCCAGGGGTGTGTGTGTCCTAAGCTTAGTTGCTCTCACAGGGGTAGGTTCCTCAGTTTGGGCAGTGAGAAGGCACCTGTCTCTGCTAGTGATCTGTAGCCAAGAACCCATCTTTTGGAATAATAAGATGAGTGCTCTTAGTCTTCTCTGTTGAAGCTGCTCCACTTCGAATCAATGGTTAAATAGCCACTGGGCCACAGAGAAAATGGACTGACTCTGTAAACTGGTAGGGCACCCTAGGAGACCTCAGGTCCAGCCTCCCTGCTCCAATGATTATTTAAGTATTTATCCAAAGCTGAGCAGCTACCACAGCAGAGATTGAGGGTGCCTCATGTGACATGGCGTGCCTATGGTAGCCCTCACTGAAAATGCCAAAGTCAGGGCAGGCTGCAAAAAGGAGAGCAGATGCTCTCAAAAATGGTGGTGAACACTGACGTTAGACTCACCAACCAGGCTTCTGATTCCCCACACTGGTTATCAAGAAACTGGAGGGGGGGAATCACACAGCTCCCTTTATTGTATTCCAGTAAGGTGAGGAGTTATTTAAAAACTCTGCTCACTATACAAAATGTTCTTCTGAACCCCAAAGGGCTAGCCACATTACCAGGCCAATATTGGTTTGGATCTTATCCAAAATACCACGTTGCCAGGCAATCTTTCAGTATCTAAAACTAAAGGTTTATTAGAAAAGAAAAGAACAAGAAGAGAGTTGCTAAATGGTCCAAGTCAGATACATACATAAGACTTCGAAGTCCATATATCAGGTCTTTAGCAATATTGGTGAGTTGGCTGGCTTGAAAGTCCCTCTGGAACTAGGGATATAAAATATTAAATGGTTAAACGGTAAACCAATAAGTATTAGTTTTACAGTTAATCCTCCATCGTTCACCCATCTCCTTCCGATCAGCTGGTAGAAGTCCTTGCTGAGGGCTGGGGCCTGCATGCAGATCTCAAACAGGTTCTTCTGCAGCAGAGGTGCCATTTGGGAAGCTGGTAAGAGGTGGCTTTGGCATCAGGAAGGGGCAGGCATCATGAGAGATCACTGGGAGCCCAGCCCCCTAATAAAGGGGCCACGTTGATATTAACGCTCTAGCCCAGCGGGGTCTTCGCCCCAGCAGTGAGGAGGGTCCTGTTTTAGTTTGTAAAAACAATCCCTCCAGCCCCACAGACCTGAGGGGAAATACTTGCACAGACCTAGGGGTGAGGACCCTTGCGGAAGGATGCTGCTCGCTAGGCCAAGAAACTCCTGGCAGTGCAGGTAAGCAGGACGAGTAAACTGCCAGCCTTGACAGGGGGAGTGTATTTAGGCTGGGGGGGGGCAGGGGCTGCAGGCCCCATTGGGGGTAAAGTAGGCCCCGGCATCCCCCCTGTGCCACTGGAAGGAGTTCGGAGGCGGACGACGCACTGGTCGGTGCTGCGGTTTTGGCTGATAATTGACGGGAAAGGAAGCTGCTGCTGGGGTGGCATGGAGCATCTGTGGAGGCCAATCGGGACAAACTAGATACCTGGGGCTCCTCTCCCTTTTCCTGGTTAGTGAGGATGTAAGGGGTATGCTGGGCCCCCTCAACTGCCCCAAGCTCTCCTGGCTAGGCCTGTTGTGTCCTGCATCCCACTGCCCTTTCCCATCTGTCCGGGGCAAGCGGGAGGGGAGACATGCCATCCTAGGCATTGTGAGGCCCAAATTGGTTAACCGGTTAAATGGTTAACCAATATAATTTTTATAGTTTAAACGGGTACTTTTAAAAATGATACACCTCTACCCTGATATAACACGACCCGATATAACACAAATTCGGATATAACGCGGTAAAGCAGTGCTCAGAGGGGGCGGGGCTGCGCACTCCGGTGGATCAAAGCAAGTTCGATATAACGCGGTAAGATTTTTTGGCTCTTGAGGACAGCGTTATATCGAGGTAGAGATGTATTTATATCCCTCTCTGGAACACATCCAAAGCTTGGCTGGGTCATTCAGTCCTTTGTTCAGAACTTCAGTTTGCAAAGAACTTACTCCAGAGGTAAGAAGCAGGATTGAAGATAAAATGGAGATGCTGCAGCTGCTTTTTATATCGTTTGGCATGTGGCTTGCATACAGTGTCACACCTCATATCAAAATATCCCATTGCTCAGTGATTAGGGCATCTTCCTGAGATGTCAGATCCTACCTCCCAATCTGGCAGAGCGGGGAATTGAACCTGGATTGTTCACATCCCAGGTGACCACTGGGCTAAATATTGTAAGAAAACTCCTTCGAGCAGATTTTGAATGGGACCTGATCTGATAGGTACCCTGAGTCCACCTTCCGGATTGGTCTCTGCGCATAAGATAGGCAGATGAATGCCTATCTTTTCCTGGTTTGTGCATCATTAGGCATCTAGATGCCTAGAGTGAAGCAGCAGTGTAAGTGCCCAGAGGTAGAAATTTACGTGCAGAGGGAACCTGTAAACTTAGGCACCAAGTGCGTTTAGGCACCTGTGGGCTTTGGTGGGAGTTTTATGGATCATGGTGGAGTTTAAAACTGGGTTTTAGGTGCCTAAAGCTGAATTTTAGGTGCACTCAAGTACCTTTGTGGATCAAGGTTTAAGTGACTTGCCCAAGATTGCACAGGAAGTCTGTGGCAGAGCTATGAATTGAATCTAGGTCTCCTGACTAGATAACAGGGAGGGAGATGAGTCATTTTAATTAAGTGCCAATGTGGACACAAGAACAAATGGATATAACCTGGCCATCAACAAGTTTAGGCAAAGGCAATTATGCAAAGATTTCTAACTATCAGAGGAGTGAAGTTCTGGAACAGCTCAGGGGAGCAGTGGGGGCAAAAAACATAACTGGCTTCAAGACTGAGTTTGATAAGTTTATGGAGAGGCTTGTATCACAGGACTGCCTACAATGGCACATGGCCCATGGGTTTTTTTTGCTACTGGCAGTCGCCCAATGGCTGGAGATAGGACACTAGATGGCGTGGGTTCTGAGTTAATACAGATCATTCTTTTGTGGGTATCTGCTTGGTGGGTCTTGCCCATATGCTCAGGGTCTAACTGCTTGCCATATTTCGGGTTGGGAATTTTCTCTTGGCTCAGATTACCAGAGATCCTGGGGGTTTTCGCCTTCCTCTGCAGCATGGGGTACAGGTCACTTGCAGGTTTAAACTAGTGTAAATGGTGAACTCTCTGTAACTTCAAGTCTTTAAATCAGGGGTCGACAACCTTTCAGGAGCGGTGTGCCGAGTCTTCATTTATTCACTCTAATTTAAGGTTTCACATGCTAGTAATACATTTTAACATTTTTAGAAGGTTTCTTTCTATAAGTCTATAATATATAACTAAACTATTTTGTATGTAAAGTAAATAAGGTTTTAAAAATGTTTAAGAATCTTCATTTAAAATTAAATTAAAATGCAGAGCTCTCCGGACCGGTGGCCAGGACCCGGGCAGTGTGAGTGCCACTGAAAATCAGCTCGCGTGCCACTTTTGGCACGCATGCCATAGGTTGTCTACCCCTGCTTTAAACTATGATTTGAGGATTTCAGTAACTCAGCCAGAGGGTAGGGGGATCTATTTCAGTGGGTGGGTGAGGTTCTGTGGCCTGCAATGTGCAGGAGGTCATCACGATAAAATTATCATCACGATGGTCCCATCTGACCTTAAAGTCTATGATACTCCCAATCCAGTGATTGGTCCACCATAAGCCATCCTTTCCTCCCCACTTCCCTTATGTATGTAAGTGTATACATTAATTTTAGCAGCAATTCTTTTCAGCACATGCCTGAGGAATAACAAGCCAAAATATCATAATTTGGTCAGAAAGGACCCTTACTGTGTTCACCTGGTTAAAGGCTTCCCTAATTAATATCTCTTATTGTCCTCTGTGTTGAGAGGTATAAATAGAGAGACTTTAATATGCAATGGAATTCCAAGTTTTTTGCTTAGGCTCCTATCCTCCAAACTCTTAAACATGCTAGTACACTTTACAGGGTTCAAAATTAA